GTTAAAGGAAGATTGAACAGTGATGGACAACAAGAGGGTTAAGGCACCTGCGTCCAAGCCTGATGACCTGAGCTCAATCCCTGAACCCTGCATGGCTGAAGAAGAAAGCTTAGTTCTGCAGATTGTATTCAGATCTCAACACATACACATACATCCATACACATGCACATGCAAGAGAAGATAGATAGATGACATGCATGACCAAATCTTTTTTATAGGAGAGCTGAAACTCTCAGGGAATAAACACAGCCCTGTATAAGGTTATGGTTTTCACCTACACTACGTTTGAAAACATTGAAATTCATCACGGCTAGGGCAAGCAAGAGGCATTGCTTCTTCCACTCATCCTCAGTCACCTCTTGTCCCTGACCGGCAGTCACCTCCTTGGCCTCCTCTCCTCTGGTCCCAGGCCCTGGCGGCCTGCTCTTGGCAGGGTGGGGCTGGGGATAATGTGGTCGTTCTGGTGAAATCTGTTCCCCTACCCCCACCCCACGAGAGGAAGCCAAGATGTGAAGACGGCCCCTCATAATGATTTCACTGGGCTTAATGAAATTTTCATCACAACCTGCTGCTCATTTTAATGGCCTCTGGGAAACAATGGACGCATGTCTGGAGGAGAGAAACATGTATGTGTGCACCTAGCACTCAGCTCCAGTCTCTGCCTGCTCCTCATGGCTTTCCATGGCTTCTGTCTCCATGGAGCTGCAACAGGGGCTTGCAGTTTACCGACCAACACATTTTGCATTTTCCTTTCAGACTGGTTACTAAATGTTTTGTCTTCTCGATGCTAGGTAATGAGAGAGCCTCAGCTCACGTGTGTGTGCTGTACACAACATCACAGTCCCTTGTGTCTGGTGGGGGGGTAAAGACAGGTACGAGGGGTCAGCCTCAGACATGGCCAGTACCCTCTGATCAGTGATGTCTCGAAGGCCAACAGTGCTTCTTCGAGCTGCTGGGGGACCTGTAATCTCTTAAGATGCAATTTTGCATTCTGTACTCTTTGAAATCTGTATTGTTTCTTCCTAAATAAGAATGTGGCTTTACTCAGATAGAAGTGACTTCACGGTGAGCCCGTCAATTGTTTCAGTCACTGAGTGTGCAGTCTTGAAAGCTGCACCAGGGCCCATGCATGCAATCCCAGCACTCAGGAGACTGGGGCAGGAGGACCACTGTGAAGTTGAAGGCAGCCTGGGCTTCATACTGAGCCTAGGCAAACAGACTAAAATATGAGACAATACCTCAGAACAACAAAGGAAGTATTTAAAAATACATCCACATTGTCACCCGGGCAAATTATCAGTAAGAGTGGGTCTATGGTTCTGGATACTCAAAGCAAGCTCCAGGGGCTTGAATGTGTGGCTGTAAAGGCATCTTCATGCTCTGTCATACAGAGATTGTTTCTGAAACTCAAGGGAGGCATGAACCTGTGGATGTCTGTATCTGTGTGTGTCAGTATGTGTGTGTGTGTGTGTATGTGAGTGTGGTGCATGTGTGGGTATGGTGTATATACAAACACATACTTTGCAGCCCGTACATGTATAGAGGCCAGAAGAGGATACCAACACACTTGCACTCTCTGCCCTATTTCCCTTGAATCAGAAGCTAGGCTGGTGGCCACCAACCCCAGTCTTATCCCTGTCCCCTACAGCAATGGGGTTACAGGAGCACACGTGGCTACGCCCGGTGTGGCCGGCGGAAGTGGTAACTTCTGGATGGGAGGTTCCCACGTTTGCACAGCAAGTGTTCTTCCCTCTCTAGTGCAAACTCAGACTTTTCCGTTCCTGCCTTGCTCAGTTTGCATTCTCTCGGCCTTATTGAATAGCACACGCCCCCTTCTCTGAGCACTTGAAGAAATATATTGAAGGGCATCACTGACGGAGATACAGCATGGAGAGCCTTCTAAACTTCATAGGCTGTCATGTTGCTTCCTCGTGCCGACCCTCCCGGCTAAAAACATCCGTCTTTGCTCTTCTACTCAAGTAGCCGCTCCTGGGAATTCAGCAGCTCCTACAATGCCCAGTGACACCCTGCGTCTTTTCTCAAGGTACCTATGGGTACCTCCTGCTGCTGTCTTTCCAACAGAGATTTATTCATTAGGTTTAGGCCTGTCATCTACCTCCAAGTTAAGAGGTCATGCACCTATTGTTAGTCAACCCAGTAAAGTGGAGATGACAATGTGCACAAAATTCCCTTTAATAGTGTCATCTAAGGATGTGCTCTTTGGAATAGAATATACAGAGAAAACTGGGACTCCTTAGCCCTTTTCCTTGCATTCTGAATATATCAAAAGCTATTATTTTAAATTGCCACATGAGGTAAACACTTCCCAAATCCTTCTACGAAGTCCACATTGAAACCAGAGATGTACAAATTATGAGCAAATGGACCTCATGAACCTGAATGTAAACACCTTCAACAAAGTCTAAGTCAGTCAAATCTCAAAAGAGATCAAGGGGACCGAGAGTGTCCCAGTTGGATTTACTGCAACTCTGCTGGGTGATTCAATGTTTGCAAATCTCTTTGAGAATTTAAAGATCAAAGATTGTGTGTATGTTACATTAATAGGTAAAATTTTAAACTCCTAGGGAAACCAGAGAAGAGAGGAATGTAGATCTCGACGGCATCATCTGAGAAATCCTACAGCAAACATCCTGCTTCATGGTGGGTCAAGAGCCTGTCTCTTAGAATCAAAAACACAGCAATGGTAACCCCATCTTAATTGATGTCCTACTAGAAGTCCCAACATGTAAGAAGAAAGGAAAGTAATAAAACTGTATTGGGGAAGAAATAAATGGAACTGTCATTTTGTGAATGAACTTCTTGTCCATCTAGATAATCTCGCAGAGTTTACAAAAACTGATAAAACTCACTTCGAGGCCATAGGTTCCAAGGAGAGCACATGGATTTTCTGCAGAATGCCAGTTAGCAATTAAAATTTGAAACTAATAATAGCATGATTATTGTTTACTTTTCTTATATAAAATGATAATAAACAAGCATACATTTAGTAAAATATATCTAAGACATGTACCTGGAAACTGTAAGAATCCAGATATTCATAACTGAGGGAGATTTTTATGTTCATGGATGAGAACAGTCGGTGTTTGTAAGGTATGGCATCTTTCTTTATCCTGTGGTCAATAGACAGGATCCATTCTCATCAAATCCACATTACCCTTTGGATATATACAAACTGACTTCAGAGTTTGTGAAGAAAGAAAATAGACTAAGACTAAGCCACAAAATCCCAAAGAAAATGACGAAAACTGGAAAAGGGACACTATCCAAAGCAAGCCATGGTCATTAAGACGGCACGGTATCACAGAACGGAGAGTCTAATGATCTGATGTATCAGAACACAGAGAGCAGAAGAAAACACACAGCAGGCCAGTCAACCACCTTTGCAAAGAGCACAGCATTCAGTGAAGATGGATCATCTTTCAGTAAATTGTGCTGAACAACTAGACTGTCTGATTATTAAAAAAAAATTAAAGGAGTCGGACATAGAACCTAGCTTTTAAAAGATTAACTTAAAGGGGTTCCCAGATCTAAAGTATATAATGCAACATTATAAAGGTATAGAATATAGTGTAAGAAAAAAAATCTCAGATTCTCCATGATCACTTACACAAATCAAAAGTATAATTCGTTAACAAAATGATGACTTAGAAGCCATTAAAATTAAACCATTTTTTTTCTGTAAAAGAAAATACTGTGAATGAAAATACTGACCACAGACTGGGAGAAAAGGTTTGTCAATACTTTTCTGATTCTAAACGGGTATCCAAAATATATAGAAATCTCTCAAAATTCAACTTTATCAGAATGACTCAATAAATGAACAAACGCACTGAAAAGGCACTTCCCCAAAGACATGGAGATGTAAAACGAATGTATGAAGAGATCTGAACATTGATGCCATTGGGGAGCTGCAAAGTAAACCAAGATAGTAACGTATAGCTATATGAATGAACAGAAATCCCCAAACACAACCGTGCTGAAGGCTGAGAGGGACGTGAGCACACAGTAACCTCCCTCTACTGACAGACAGCAAGAAGGAAAATTGTGTGGACACTCTGCCGACCATTTCACAATTCCTTATAAAGTCAAGCAACAGCCTTCCCATACACTCCGCCATGATGCTCCCTGGGACCTGAAAATGCATCGACTATCATACATTGCATGCCAGACATGACTTGTAATCAAAGCACATCTTCTCTCCACTGTTTGTTGGTCTGCTCACTAGAAACAAGCAGCTGGAGAAGAGAGGGACTCTTGTGTGCTCAGTGGCTTCTGCTCCCCAACGGGGTTAAACTGGAACAAGTCACCATCTGGATCTAACCTTGGACAGGTTAACAAGTTCATTTTTTCCTTGGTTTGCTCTATTTTTAAGAAAACCCTTGCACATATGCATACCACGTTCAAGAGGCTATCAGTAGCTATGAAAGAGTTCTAGAGCTGGAACCCAAAAATACAGAATTCAAAATGTCTAAAAATGGGAGGCTGAGTGGGTCTACCTCTAAGTAATTATAATCACCTTGTTTTTTATAGACTATACAAAGGATGGACCTAAAATCAAGGTAGGATAAGCTATGACACTGTTTAAAGGTTACAAATGCAAGACAATCCTAAAATGGTTCGTGAGGGGGAAAATTTACTAGAGTAAATGTACAGTGCAGGCTGCAGATACGTGACGAGTAGGAAGGTCTTCTGGGCAATGCTGAGACATTCTATTCTTGAATCTTTAAGTTTCACTCAAGTATAACTTACTCATGTATAAAAATAAGGCTCACACTGCAACATGAATTTATGATTTAAAAGAACCTTAGTATCTCTGAGAAGAAAGGAAGGAAAGAGGGAGGGAGGGATGGAGGAAGAAAGGAAGGCAGGAGTAATCTTCATAGCCATAGATTTCTACTTTGTTCAACTTGAGAATCTAAACCAAACATCCCAACAGGAAGCAAAAAGGGCATGACACAGTTTCCTTTCCCAGCCTTTACCTTCGGGCTCATTCTTGATGAGCTCTTCCATTTTCCTCTGCTTTAAGGTGTCCACCACATCCGCTAAACTGCCCTTGCGCCGCTCCGGAGTTCCCAGGGCTGTGCCAGACACGGACTCGCCACTCTGTCGCCCACCATCTTCTGCCTTCTGAGGTGAGGTAGATGAGTTGTATGGGGCTAATGAAGACATAACTTTATTGCCATCGACTTCCTAGAAGAGAGAGCAAAGAGGAGGTGGGTGACTTAAAACTCAGTAGTAGTGTTTCTTTGGGGAGAAGGAGCTCTGTGGCTTAATCTGTAGACATGAAAAAATAAAATATAAAAAAAATGTGGACTGTGAGCAAAGGAGCAAAGGAAACCTTAAAATCACTTGTCTTCACTTTGCAAGCCAGTTCAGGGCTGAGTCACCGACTGCTTTATAGACACAAACCAAATAGGAGGCCATAAAGTAAGGCACACGCTCTTAGGCTCAGCAGAATTGTAGCCCTACTGTCCTGGCTTGTGCTGAAGGTCTCAGCTGTTCGCATGAATATTAGACAGAGCTGTCAACTGCGTTCAACTTCCTGGTGACATGGGAATGTTTAAACAAATCACATATATGTGTACCTTGTCTTTATCTTTGGCTGACTCCTCTTCGTTGCCCCCTAAATGGCACGGGGTCTCCCTTGGTACCAACCTCCCTGTCAATCTTTCACAGCAGCTCCCACCACACTGGAGACTTTCACACTGAGAGGGACCATTGTAAGGCTGCTTCTGCCTCTACGGACGCTTTCCCCATAGGGCTCAGGCTGGAAGCCTGGCTTCTGGCCCCTCCCCTGCATTTCACTGGAAGTACCAAGTGCCCTGTTAACCAGTTCCCTGAAGTTTTGCTTCTTTGTACTTATCTGCTCATGAGCGACTCTGGTCTTTTTTCAAAAACTTTTGTGTTTTTGTGTTCTCTTATCTTCTCTCTCCCAAATTCCAAGCACAAATTTGTGACATTTATAATGTGCAGGATATGTTTTGTGTCAAAGATATTTCAGGCATCTTTCAAAGGAATGAAGCTGGCGTGATGAACAGTTTGCTCACTTATGGGTTTCCCCTGGGGTCACCGCTTATGTCCATAGTCCTTTACGTCCCCACAAAGCAGAGTGCTGTTATGAGCAAAACTGTGCCATGCAGTTTTGTGAGTTTCACTCTGATTATATTTCTCCTTCATATGGCACGGGAGGTCTCATTTAAAATATGAGCACGCGTGAGCAAACAGAATATGTAAGATCACACAGTATGCCTGTTGGGGCTTTCGTTGTCTGTGTAAGAGCTGATACTGGACCACAAGAATGCAATTCTTTTAAAATTAAGGGTGATATTGGCTAGCTTAAGCATATTCAATTACTTGGCTAAAATCCTGTCATCTCGACCCTTGAAAATAATTATCAACAAAATCATTGTATGTTAATATGACTTTGAACTAACGGATGTTAGTGGGAACGGGGACATGCGCTGTTGAATAGGCTGGGGCATGTGGAGAAACACAAGGAGAAGAGGAAAAAGGAGAGGAGGATGAAAAAGTTAATGCAAGCTAACCAGCTCTTCCAAATTACAATCCTAACCCCTAATAGCTTAGTCCCAAGTAACTTCCCTTTCTCACAACCTCAGAATAGACCTCTGAAACTTTGAGGGAATATTGTATACATACAATTTATTTTCCAATGTTATTGGATTTAGGATATATTATACAGTCATTACAAGCCCTTGGGAGGGAGGTTGCATGCCCACTTTTGGAGTTATTTATTTAAAACGATACATAAATATATATAAGCACACAGGGAAACGGCACACACAGTCTCCTCTGAGTCAGAGAACTGAATACTTCATCCAGGAAACTAAAAAGAATGTTTCTTATGAACAGCCCACAGTACACAGCATCGCAACGCGGCAAAAGCATTTATATTCATAGCTCACCAATGATTTTTCCATTTCGTCTTCCTCCATGGTCAAAGTAAACACACCTTAACTGAGGCTTCACCCCAAGCACACCCATGGGTGCCTACTCCTCACATTAAACCATGCAGAGCTGAAGGAACATGAACACTGAGCTGACTGGGGACCACACGCCTTTCTATGGCAGGTCATCCGGAGAGAGGATGGCTCCCACACCTGCACGCGATCAGGTATAAGAGATCAGAAATTCCTCGAAAAGGAAGCTTCCCATTTTACACACCTTGCATACTGGAAGGTGATGTTCTGAGATGTTTAACCAGTATCACAAGGGTTCTGAATTCAAGTGCCATGGCAGAACAAACTTAAAGAAAATTCATTAAGCATTGCTGCTACTTCACACAGGACACAACCTTACTATCAAGTCACCTGTCAGATGACCTTTTAGCCATCAGCACTGCTGATCCCTTTAATGGGCTGCTAACAGATGTTTCCGTCTGGGACTCCGTTGTTCTTTTACATGATGAATATCTTACTGGGGAGAGCAGGATGAGCCTCCAGTGCAAGAGGGTCTTAGCCCCAGTTTCTTCTGTCACATGTAACAATATGTTTCTCTTCACCCTGATGGCGGATGAAGACCGGGCACTCAACCTTCAGAAGCACAAAAGGGCCAGAATTGCCACTTGAGTCTCATCTACCCCTGACATCTCTCTGAGAGGGAGTTTCCGGATTTGCAGAAAAATTCACATAACTGTGAGGTGTGCTATATAATGCTCAATGATGTCAGAGTGACTGAATCTCTGAATGCATTTGGAGGTCTTTCCCTTTGCTATTTGTCACCTTTGCATGCAAGAGAATAAGTAATAGGTGTGCTCAGCGTAAGCCCCTCATTGAAATGCCCTTGTGAAAACACACTTCCCTCTTCCTAAAGACAGCACTTATATTTAAATGTTAATTTGGGTAATGAGAAAGTATTGCTTCATCTGGAAAAGGAACTGTATTAATGTAACTCAACCAGATCCAAACAAGGCTCCATCCTTAGCTTTTGATCTTATGAGATGCATCACGTTACTTAGCTTTTGATTCTATTTGTGGAGATGAAATTCAAACATGCTAGTAAAACAACATCATACTTATATCCCATTTGTCAAGCTATAATAATAACTGGATAGCTTAAGTCAAGCATTTTAAAGAGTCTTACATGCCCAAGTTTAATCTTTATGGTAGAACTAACTAATTATGATTTCTAGTTTATAGAGAGACTAAGGGACCCAGGCTAGGGGGAATTACTGAGGTCGTCACGACACTGAATAATGAGAAAACCTAGGGGGCTTCAGAATTCTTGCATGTAACCTTAGTGATAACATGTTTTTTTTTAAAAAAAAAATTAATATAATTGCTTATCTATCATATGTGATCCAGATAGACTATTTTCTTCCTAATAATTATGAAAGCTAGCCTCTCCTTCTAATATGTTCACCCTCTGTACAAGAAAAATGCTTCCAAATCAGTTTAAACAGTCAAGTCTTGTAAATCCTGTCCATCCTTTTAGCCAATGAAATTAAAAATTACCTTTAACATTTAAACAATGTTTAAATGACAAGGCCTGGATGATGATTGATTCACCAAAACCAGTCTCCAGTCTACCAACTGTGGGGTTACCACAGCATCAGAATCAAGTGAAAACAGAGAGATGCAGGGGAGAAGAAGTCTGCTCGACAAGGTCAAGCTGGCAATGAGGAGTCCCGTAAAACTCACCAACAATTCTAAAACGAGGTTCTGAAAGCTATCTTAATGCCTGCTTTGTGCATCTATTCCTTAAATGATGTTTAAAAACACAAGGTCACTCACATCATGCCTCCTTGGCTTGCAACGGATGGCCAGCCCTTATAGTCTACCCTGTGAAACCGCAGGGTCAGGTGCGGTAATGACCCTCACGTGGACATTCACTGAAGTGTTTACAGCGCTTCCTTCCCTTAACTTTTCCACACTGTTTTATCATAAACAGTATACTATGCTCGGTTCCTCTTAACTTACAGACTCCTGGGAGGCCGCTTAGGCTTCTCTCCTGAACACAATCCCTGTGAGTACATAAGCACACTTCTACAATCTCAAATCCCATTTCACTACAACTTTAGAAAGTCCATTTCCCATTATTAGTGTTCCAAGTATGAGTCTACTCCAGAAATCTCCCACAAACTCCATTAAAAATGGATTGCTGGGTGGAAAGCCCTGATCTAAGGCATGGTCCCAGGGAGCCCATAATATAGATAGAAGATGGTGTTAAAAGTTAAATGATTATATATATAGAGAGAGGGGGGAGAGTTGGGAATGATGGTGTACACCTTTAATTTCTGCATTTTGGGGTCAAATGCAGCTAGATGTCTATGAGTGGTAGGACAGCCCTGTCTACATAATGAGTTTAGGTCACTCAGGGTCACAAAGAGACAGATGCTCTCTCTCTCTCTCTCTCTCTCTCTCTCTCTCTATATATATATATATATATATATATATACATATATATATATATGTGTGTGTGTGTGTGTGTGTGTGTGTGGCTATATATATATATATATGAATGGCTATATATAAGGAGACCTAAATCTGATCATTTATATATTCATTATCTATATATCACCTATCAAGTATCTTCTATCATCTACCTATTAACTGTCATCTGTCTTCTGTCATAGATCTATCTTACCTATCTAACATCTGTACATCAGCCTAAAGGCGGAAGAAACCCTAAAGTGTCTTCCTGTGCTTTGTGGTTTTGCTCCGTCACCCTTGGAAAACTCTGTGTCAAGTCCCCTGATGACTCAGGAAGGACACTGTACCGGCTAACCTTCATTGTCCACTTGGCAGGGTTTAGAATCGCCGTGGAAACACACCTCTGGGTGTGTCTGTGAGGGCTCACTAAGCCATGGAGAAGGGAAGACTCACTTTGAACGTGGGAAATGCTAGTTATGGGGTGGAGGCTGCAGTCCCTTGGTCTGTGACTGAAAAGGAGCCCATTCTCTGTGGCTGTCTCTTGTCAGGTACTTCACAATAACAAGAAGAGTGATGAATATGTGCGCTGACTAAACCCAGAATATTTCTTCTGCACAGTGGAAATCCACTGTGCATCGAATACTGGAGCCGGTGGCAGAGCACGCAGGCTGACAGGAATGTCTCCATGTTATAAAAACAACCTCCTTACATTTCTCACACAGGATCAAGTCAACATTTGCTTTTATTCTGGGATACCATAAGCAGTGGAGAGTGCCGTTTCATTTTTTTTTTTCCCAAGAT